TTCACCTGACTGTCCACAAAGGGAGCAACCCTCCTTTCCATTCTGTCCTGTCCCTGTTGGGTCTTCTGAACGCCCTCTCCCATCATGGCTATCTCAGACTGTGTGTGTACATAGGGGTTATGATTTGGGAGAGACACATGTCTCCCAGGTTGGAGGCAGTCCCTTGTGGAGTGCCAGGCCTCACCTCCAGGACTTTGCCTAAAGCAGGCTGACCACAAACATCTGCTGAATGACTGAACAAATGAACACACAGCAACCTCCTTGCTGGTTTCAGGGCCTCATCATGCCGTCAGGGCTGTACTTGGGACCAGACATGACAGCAAGCTTTCTGCAAGGGAGCTCTGAGGAATACCAGTCACAGAGTCCTACAGGGTAAGTATTCAACACATCCGAAAAGGCCTAGTTAAAATAAATTAGGTTTCAGTCATTTTCTGGAGTATTATGGAGTTGTTTTTTTTTTTAAAGGGGAGGGGGGGAAGGGGAACTTTTGGGCATCTGTCCCAGAGTCACACTTGTCAGAACTATTTAATAAGGATCAATTACAGCAAAAGACTATTAGCAACCCAAGTGTTCTCAAACAGGGAGACTGGCTGAAAAAAAACAAGATAAATCCACAGAACAAAATACTATGCAACTGTAAAAAGAAATGAGGGATGGGGGCGCCTGGGAGGCTCAGTCAGTTAAGCATCTGCCTTCAGCTCAGGTTGTGATCCCAGGAGAGTCCCACATCTGAGTCCCTAATCAGTGGGAGCTTGCTTCTCTCTCTCCTCCCCGCTCATGCTCTCTCTCGCTATCTCTGTTTCTCTCTCTCTCTCAAATAAATAAAATCTTTTTTTTTAAAAGATTTTATTTATTTATTTGACAGAGAGAGATCACAAGTAGGCAGAGAGGCAGGCAGAGAGAGAGGAAGGGAAGCAGGCTCCCTGCTGAGCAGAGAGCCCAATGTGGGGCTCGATCCCAGGATCCTGGGATCATGACCCGAGCCAAAGGCAGAGGCTTAACCCACTGAGCCACCCAGGCGCCCCTCAAATAAATAAAATCTTAAAAAAAAAATGAGGGATGAAAAAAAGGAAAATCTCTATACATTGATTAACAGTAGATTCCAACATATATTAACTGAAAACATGCAAAATGGGAGATAATGTTTGCTGCATCCTCCCTTTTTACAAAAAGGGAAGTACATATAGATATAGACACACATGTATATCTATATCTACATATATATTAAAAAATGAAAAGATAAATCAAAAACCAGAAGAAGAGGGAAAACAGTAAAATAAATCTGGTGGGTCTCAATGTATTATCATAAAAAGCTATCTATGACAACCTATGGCATCACAGCATACATTAATTCGATCTATTTTTGTCAAGTTTGTGTATGTAGACACACTATGAACTGGGTCTGTTTCCTTTTCTATAAAAAAGGGACGGGCGCCCTCCCTCTGACCCTCCCTCCTCTCATGCTCTCTCTCTCTCAAATAAATAAATAAAATCTCAAAACAAAACCAAAAAACAGGGACGGCAACAGTGTTTACCTCCCAGGACTTTTCTGAGTAGATGAGTTAGTATGCAAAATAAACACAAGATAAGTACAGCTACTATTTTTATGTGCCCCTGAAAAGATCTGAAGGATGTTGCATAAACTATTAACAATTTGAGGAGGCTGAAAAAGATGAACCTTTTAAAAGGAACGTAAGGGGCGCCTGTGTGGCTCAGTAGGTTAAAGCCTCTGCCTTCGGCTCAGGTCATGATCCCAGCCAGGGTCCTGGGATCGAGCCCCACATCAGGCACTCTGCTCAGCAGGGAGCCTGCTTCCCCCTTCTCTCTGTCTGCCTCTCTGCCTACTTGTGATCTCTGTCTTTAAAATCTTTTTAAAAAATAAATAAATAAAAATAAATAAATGCAATATATTGTAATCTATTGCAATACAGTAGTTATTCACCAGATGTCTGCTGAATGAACGAGTATCCAGCAGCCTCCTTCCTAGACTCCCTGCCACCTGTCACAGTCACATCTTGTTTAGCATCAAAGCCTTCATCCTCACCAAGGCCTAGGAGACCTTGTATGAGTGGCCCCTTCTACCTCTGCCCTCACTTTCCTCTCGGGTCTCTGCGTTCAAGCTTTTCCCTCACTACCCTATTTCTTTCTTTCTTTTTCTTTTTTCCACTACCCTATTTCAAACGTCAATTCCTTCTCCCTCTCCATCTGTGTTACTCTATTTTTCTGCACAGCATTTATTACCATCAGCATACTACAAATTTATAAGCTCTGTGAAGGCCAGGATTTGCGTGTGTCTGTTCACTTTCTAGATTTCCAGCATGGAACAGCACCTGGCACCGAGTAAGTGCTCAGTAAATATCTGAATGAATGCCAAAGGGCTTCCCCAATCACTGGACTTAGTATCCTCACGCTGTGGCTCTAAAACGCTTGAAAAATTATAGCTAATATTTATGTGCTAGGCACAATTCTAACACACATGTTAACTTATTTAAAGCTCCCAACACCAACTCTTTGAGGCAGTTACTATTTTTAATCTCCTTTTTACAAATGAGGAAATTTGAAGGTAAGGGAGGTAAAGTCACTTGACCCAAGGCTCACAGCTTCTAAGACACAGACCCAGCAGTAATGACTGCAGAGTCTATCCTCCTCACCACTAGGCAGTCCTGCCTCTCTGAAAGGCACTCCTTCTCCAGGACAGGTCTGTTCAAGCAAGCCAAGGGGCACAGTCACCTGACAACCAGCACACTGCAGTCCCTTATCAGAACATAATGAACCTTTTCATGATGAACTTTTCCAACCTTTCCACTCTTTCCATGACAATAACAGATTGAAATCTACCTTTTTTATTTTTTTAACCCTATGTTCTTCCTCTTCTACTTTCTGGTTTATCCTTCAAAAAAAAAAAGTATGCACATTTCCTTTCTTTTGTAAAAAGGGAAGCATATGATTAGTAAAAAGGGAGCACATAATTAGCACCGCCTTCTCTTTTGTTTGTTTTCACTTAATATTTTCTGGAGCCCACTCTCTATATCAACGTAGTGACATTTTCTTCATTCCCTCCCCCCAACCCTCCTTTAATAGTTGCATAGTATTTTATTATGTAGGTATTATAAGCTTTTTTTCTGCCAGCCTCCCTACTGAAGAACATCTGGGGGTGCTTGCAGTCTTTTTGCTATTACCAACCATCACTGTTTCCCCTTCCCTCCTGGTGTATTCCTTATGGAGTCCCACTCCCACCTGGAAGTATGACGACTCCCCTCATATAGGAAGTAACCCCAGGAGTATCTTTCATTCATGCAACGAACATTAACCGCGCATCTTCAGTGCGACCAGCGCTGTGCTGGGAACACATACTCTAAGTCCCTGTCTCCGTGGACCTCACGGCCAAGGATCTAATCGAAAAACCCCACAAATAAAGGTCCAATGATAAATCAGACCACATGTGACATGAAGGAAAGGAACAGGGACCTATGAGAGGGTTTAACAGGCGGATTTCGGGACGGAAGGCGGGAAAGCAGGCCTTCGCAGAGGAAGTGACGTTGATGCACAGACCCGAAAGATGAATGGGAGTTAGCCAGGCAGAATGGGTAAAAGGATGTTGCGGGCAAAGGGGACAGCATGTGCAAAAATCCTGAGGCGGGAAGGCGCATGGCGAGTTTGAGGAACCGGAAGGCCAGTGCAGCTGTGCGAAGTGGGGAACGAGCAGAGAGGCCGAGCCGGGGCCGGAGGGGCGGACGCGCCTTAGGGGCCACGTTGGAACTTTGCCCTGAGGGCACTGGAGAGCCACGGGTGGGTCCTGAGCTGGGGAAGAAACTGGGGTCCCGAACGTCACTGCTCCTCTTTCCTCGCAGCGCCCCAACCCGCCGGCCAGCGCCCCTGCCGCCTCAGGGCCCCTCCTCCCTTCGTTCCCGGGCCCCCACTCCACCCCCCGCTCACCGCGGCGCCGGCCTCCGTCCCCCTCGCGCCCCCTCAGCAGCGCCTCCTCACAGACGCCGCCGTCGCCATCTTCCGTTCGCCGCCGGGACACTGCGCACGCGCCGCGCACACAGGGCCGCCGGGAAATGGAGTCCACACTGAGGGCCGACCCCGCCCCTACCTCCTGCAACGCGAGAGGTCTTCCACCCTCCCCCAGACGACGCCGGGGCGTCCTTCATTTCCGGCTTTTGATTGCCATGCCTTAAGGGAAATGTAGTCCCTTAGCGGAGGCATTGGACGGAAAGGGAGGTAGAGGCTTCTGGGAAATGGAGTTCTTGGTAGTTCTGAGTCCTGGACGGCTGGTGTTAGAGCGGGCGGAGAGTCCGGGCTGCAAAGCTCCGAGGACCTGGAGGTGGTCTGTTGCCCCAGTGGAGTCTAAGCAGAGTCCTCGATCCCGTCCACCTTAGGTCCTGACCGTTTACGCAGTCTGGAGCCTTTCCAGCTGTCGGAAGCTTCAGTCTTCCAGTCCGTCCATTGGGAACGTGGGTTCGAGGGTCTCTTACAGTCTTTATGGTAGCATATACTGACCTCCGGAGTCCACAGCGCTCTGAGGCCCTTCTCCTCCGCCGCGGTCATGCTGGGCTCTGGCCATTCGCCCTCTCCTGTCGAGAAGATGAAGCCCGCTGGGGTAGAAGAGCCCCAGAGTTCTGCCCTCGGGGCCTTTAGCCTCGGCAGTGTTGCGCACCCGTCGCTCCCTCTCTTCAGCCACCTCCAGCTGTCGTGGCCCCGGGCTGCGGCTCCCGGCGCCTGAGGTCTGTCTCCGCTTAATCCCGCAGGGGGCGCCCCAGTCCGAGCGCGCCGCCCTCGGGGAGGCGGGAGGGGAGCCCCGGACGTGCGAGGGCGGGGGGTGGGGGTGTCCCAGCTATAAAGCGTGGCCGCCTCCCGCGGCGCCCAGGACGGCTGGGACCCCGGGCTGTCGGACGGGCGGGCACCGGTCGCAACTCCGGCAGTGCCGGCTGAGAGATCTGAAGCGCTCGGTTCCCCCCGGGCCGGAGCGGGGGCTGGAGGGGGCGCAGGCCCGGGGGATGCTGGGCTCGGTGAAGATGGAGGCCCATGACCTGGCCGAGTGGAGCTACTACCCGGAGGCGGGCGAGGTGTGTCCTCGGGGATGGCGGAGCGGGAAGTGGGGGGCATGAATCAGGGTGCGAGCGTGAATGGAGGCAAGGATGAGGTGTGGGATCCAATGGGGGCCCCAACTACAGTTGAGGAGCGGAGGAACTACAGACATGCAGACCAGGTGTAGGAGTCCGGGATGGGGGACGAGGCGTGGGAGTGCGGTTTAGGCTGGTTGGAGCGAACGCTCAAACGGAAAAATTTAGGCAAGGGGCGGCTCATAGTTTAAACGTGAAGACTGGGTGTTGGGGACCCAAAATCCAAGGGATTAAAATGAAAAACAAAACAAAAACAAAGATAGAAATCCGAGTTCCAGGATAGGGGACAGAGCGGGGGGATTGGGGGGGGGGGGTCCAAAGGGGGGGGGGGGGGGGGGGGAGGCCGCAGCTGAGAGATGGGAGAAAAGGTTCACCATTAAGGAAAGTCTGAAGTGGGAGCTCAGGGGTGGAATATAGTTAAAGATGGGGCTTCTTGGGTAGAAATCAGTGTTGGGGTTGTGCGGTAAGCATCTCCGGGGTGATGATCTTAGAGTCAGAAATAGGGATTGGTGCTCAAAGTTAAGAGATGGAGGTGCTCAGAGATGAAACATGGTTTGGGAACCTGGAATAACAGGTGGGTGAGAGTTGGGGCTCAGAGAGATGGGGGCCCAGATGGGGTCAGAGTTGGGAACCTGAGAGCAGATGTGAGCAACGGCATTGTCAGGAGAGGGGTCAGCCTCCGCCCCCCATCTCTATTCATGACCCTTACCCCTCCTGACTGAACTTCAGTGGTTTAATTGTTTTTAGAGACCCTCAGCAGGGATACTCGGAGGCTGGAGGGTTTCAGATTTCACACCCCTGCCTTCCAGTAATCTCCAGTAATTGCTAATGTCCTCACTTGTCCCATCTCTGACAAGGCTGCCCTTGGAGTAGGGGGCAGGGTGTACCTTAATTCCCTTACCTCCGCCGAGGGAAAGTCCTTCCCCAAGTCTAACTCCCATTCCCACTACTGCAAGTGCTCCTCTTTAGCTTGTTCTTTCTATAGTCAAGATTGTGAAATGGCAGAGGGAGGGGTCCCAGTAGGAGGGTTATGGGGGTCCGGACATTTGGGTTCTTAACCTGGAAGGAGACTTTGGGTTTCAGGTCGCAGAGGGACTGGAATGTGTGAGATCTCCAAGGATTCTGAGATCTGGGGGTTTACAAGGAGCCCCACCATGCCTGAATTCTGGGTCTGGGGTTTGAAGCTTGGGCTGGGACTCCTGGTTCCCCAGGACTGCAGGGCTTGGCAGAGTGCCCAGGAGGGGCCAGTCTTGGGGCTGTGGAGGTGTGAGGTGCATGTGGGATGGGGCAGGCTGACCAGGGAAGGGACTGGGAGTGCTGAGAGTTGGAGGTGTCACTTGTACAATAGGGAAGGCAGAGAACCGGTGGGAAGTGGAGGCGCTCGCAGGTAGTGGCGGGTGGCAAGGGGGTGGGGGTGGGGGGGGTGCCCCAGCAGAGAGAGTTCAGAGTCTAGGGACATGATTGAAGAAGGCCCAACTACAGATCTATGTTTGCAGGGGGGGGGGGGGCATATCTTTAAGAAGAAAGTTGTATTGGTCTAGAATGGAGGAGTTGCTATGAGGGCACAGTCTGAAGTTTAAGAATTTGTGTGGAAACTGTCAGAAATTGAGGGACAGTCTAGAGATGATTAGCATTTGGGGGCATATTTTGGAAGAGTTAACATATAGGGGGCCGGAAATGGAAATACTGTGTCCCCAGCCTTCCCATGCACTGAGCCACCTCCCCCCCCCCCCGGGTCAGAACAATAGGGAAAGAAACATCTGCACTCATTCAGCAACTAAGAACTAAGAGGGTCCCCAAACTGCTCCTTGCTCACAGCACCCTCCTGCTGGGGTGATTGACACCCCCGGTCAGGCTCCCTGTCAGGAAGGAAATTGGAAAGTTAGCACCCTGGGGTGTCCCCACTGACCTCCAGTTTTCACAGATCAGCTGGTCCAAGTTCTCCCCCCCCATTTAGAGATGGGAACTCAGAAGCCACTCCAAGTGTGTATGCATGGGGAAGGGGGAGCTGCTGGAGGATCTGGACTGGGACTGGGACTAGAAACTAGGCTTCTGGCTTCACATGGCCTTCCTGTGCTCCCTGTCACACCCTCCCCCCAGAGACAATAAGGAAATGAAGAGAGAGAAATTCCAGCCTCCTGGGATGGGGGTGCCGGTCCCCTGAGGGCTTCCCCCCAATCTCTGCCCCGCCCTGGCAGGGGAGATCCGGCTCACACCCGGACACTGGGGGTTCATCCCAGCCCTGGGGCGTGGGAAAGCCAAGGGTGGATTAGGGCAGCTGGAGTGCTTGAGGTCAGACCTCAAGGAGGACTTCCGGGTGGGTGGGGACTCAGAAAAGGAGAGTCCTGGGGTCCCAATCAATCTTCCTCTGCGATCCAGAGGAGCCTCATGGAGTTGGAGAATTGGAGTGGGGGTCGCAGAGGGATTTAGGAGCTCTCTGAGTCTATTGCCTTCCTTCAGCTCTGAAGGACGCACTTCCCTTATCCTGGGGAGGGGGTAGAATCAGCCAAGGTGGTGGTGGGGACACCAATGCATGGAGAAGGGGTACCTGTGACTCCAGTTTCAATGGGAGGCTTCTGGGAGGATGATGCTGAAGCAATGAGATAGAGGGACAGATATGTGCTGAGGGGAAAGAGACGTGGCCCAGGAGTGGGGCAGAGAGAGATAGGGTGGGGGGAGAGAGATGGGGTTGGGGAGAGTCACAAGGAGGGACTGGGGAGGGGGATTGGGGAAAGAGGAGAGAGACAGGAGAAGGAGGGGAAGACAGAGGGGCAAGAAAGAGACAGGGAGAGACAGGGATGGCGGAGAGGAAGCTTGGATGGAGACTGGGAGTAGAGAGGAGGAGCAGGGAGGTACTGAAACAGGGAAGGAGGTGGACAGTTAGGTACACGCGGAAACAGATGGGAGATTCAGAGACCGGAGATGAAAGAAAAGTGCGTGAGAGAGAAGAGTTTCTCTGCCTGCACTCAGATGAGAGTTGGTTGCTACCTGTCCCTGAGTCTCTGAGTGACCCCGGCCATTCCCTTCTCTCTCACGACCTTGGGACCTGCAGATCCTTACAGTGACAGGGGATAAGACAGAACCCACTGACCCACAGCAAAGGTGGCTCCTGCTGGAAAGATAGCTGTACTGCCCGCGTGGGGAGGGAGCAGGGCACACTGAGGGGGAGGGGAGGGGAGCGGGGAGCCATTGTCCGACTGAGGGAGAGGGGATGGTGGACAGTGGGCTGAACCGGTAAACACCACAGCGAGGGAGAAATCACCACCCGTCATGCTTTCTGTTCTCCGCATTTTCTCTCGTTCATTTCCTGCTAGACTGTCAGGTCTGTGAGGATCGCTGTTTCTGTCTTGCTTTTGTTTTGTGATCCAGAGCCCTGGTCTGGAGCCAGACTGCCTACATCAGAATCCCAGTTCTGCCCCTTTCTTACTGTGTGACCCTGGACAACCTCTCTGGGCCCCAGCTTGCTCAGTTATACAGTGCGTGTCGTCACAGCGTGGTTGTAAAGTTTGAAATGGAGACCTTTTCCTGTGAAGTGCTCAGAGCAGTGCTTGGCACTACATAGGGGGACCATATAGATATTTGTTGAATGGATGAAAGAGAGAGAGGGTTACTTACAGAGACCTAGCCATGTCTACTGTATTTCATTGAGCTAAGATGCACGTCTTTCATTAGAACATTTCTGAAAATGGCATGGGTTTTACAATCAATGGTGTCTAGGACTGGCTGGTTTTTTTGCCCTCCTTACTGGTATCATTCTTACTGGTACTTAAAATAACATTACAGCTTACAAATAGCGATGCCTTAGATGTAATGATATATAGGAAAGAGATGATGTAGATGAAGCTGAGACGTGTGATTTCTGATACTGAAACATTAAAAAAATTTTTCTTTAAGTTTTATTTATTTAAGTAACCTTTACACCCAACGTGGGGCTCAAACTCATGACCCCGAGATCAAGAGTCGTGGGTTCTTCTGACTGAGCCAGCCAGGTGCCCTCCTCCCCCAATCCTGAAAAATTTTTGGCCTCTGATAGCTGTGATTCTATAACCTGACAGGGTGATAGAGCGTACCCAAATAGAGGGTATGGTTAGATAAGTGAGGAATTTTTTATTTTTTTGGTTTCAGGACCTCTTTTTTTTTTTTTTAAGATTTTATTTATTTATTTGACAGAGAGAGATCACAAGTAGGCAGAGAGGCAGGCAGAGAGATGGGGGGGAAGCAGGCTCCCTGCTGAGCAGAGAGCCCGATGCGGGCTCGATCCCAGGACCCTGAGATCATGACCTGAGCTGAAGGCAGAGGCTTAGCCCACTGAGCCACCCAGGCACCCCGAAAATACAGATAAATTAATTTTAAGATTTTATTTATTTGAGAGAGAGACAGAGACAGAGATCGAGCGAGAGCATGAGCCGGGTGGGGGTTGCCGGGACGGGGTTGCCGGGTCAGGGTGGGGAGAGGGAGAGGAAGAAGCAGACTTCGCCACTGAGCAGAGAGCCCGGGATTATGACCTGAGCTGAAGGCAGACGCTTAACCGACTGAGCCACCCAGGCGCCCTTGGGTTAATAAAACTCAGTTTTTTAGCATAAATACTATGTTTTTATTCATAACTATATTTCCAGGGGCCCCTGGCTGGTTCAGTCGGTAGAGCAGGCAACTCGATCTCAGGGTCGTGAGTTCAAGCCCCACGTTGGGCGTGGAGCCTATTTAAAAAAAATAAAAAGTAAAATAGAATAACTATATTTCAAAACCTTTAGTGTGAGGAGTGGCACTGTTACACTTTTGGCAAATCTCTTCAGTGTCTGGTTCAATAGGAGACAGCGGGATTCTTGTGGCAGGTTCTACATTTGGTCTGTTGCCATGTCCCGTGTCCGGTGGCCTCTGGAGAAGTCCACTGTAACTCCTGAGACACAGTGAAAAAGGCTAGTAATTTCCTAGCATTACAGTCAAATAGTTCTGACCTCCTGGACACCCTGAAAGGGTCTCAGAGACTCCCCAGGGTGCCCTGGACCCCCACTTAGAGAACCACCTAAAGCATGAACTCCAGTATAGGGAGCTTGGGGGATGGAAGATGAAGTTGGGGTGGGGGTACATTAGAATGGGGAAGAGAGAGAGACTTCTAGAGACAGGCATCTGCGGACACCGGTAAGGATAGGGGAGGGGACTTGTAGAAGGGGCAAGACAGACAGACGGACTGACACACAGTGGCGGACACACTGGCGACCCTTTGCTGATCAGCAGAGTGGCGACTCACTGACCTCCCCCCATCTCTTTTTCTCTCCTTGCAGGTCTACTCGCCAGTGACCCCAGTGCCCACCATGGCCCCCCTCAACTCCTACATGAGCCTGAATCCTCTGAGCGCTCCCTACCCCCCTGGAGGGCTCCCTGCCTCTCCGCTGCCCTCAGGACCCCTGGCGCCCCCAGCTCCCGCAGCACCCCTGGGGCCCACCTTCCCGGGGCTGGGGGCCGGCGGCGGCAGCGGAGGCAGTGGCTCAGGGTACGGGGGTCCGGGCCCCGGGCTGGTGCACGGGAAGGAGATGCCGAAAGGCTACCGGCGGCCGCTGGCCCACGCCAAGCCGCCGTATTCCTACATCTCGCTCATCACCATGGCCATCCAGCAGGCACCGGGCAAGATGCTGACCCTGAGCGAGATCTACCAGTGGATCATGGACCTCTTCCCCTACTACCGGGAGAACCAGCAGCGCTGGCAGAACTCCATCCGCCACTCCCTGTCTTTCAACGACTGCTTCGTCAAGGTGGCGCGCTCCCCAGACAAGCCGGGCAAGGGCTCCTACTGGGCCCTGCACCCCAGCTCAGGGAACATGTTTGAGAACGGCTGCTACCTGCGTCGCCAGAAGCGCTTCAAGCTGGAGGAGAAGGTGAAGAAGGGGGCTGGCGGAACCTCCACCCCCAGGAACAGTGCAGGGCCGGCTGCCTCGGCCGCCGTCCCTGCTGCTACGGTCACCTCTCCCCCGCAGCCCCAGCCTCCAGCCCCTGAGCCAGAGGCCCAGGCTGGGGAAGATGTGGGGGCTCTGGACTGTGGCTCACCCCCTTCCTCCTCACCCTACTTCACTGGCCTGGAGCTCCCCGGGGAGCTGAAGCTTGACGCCTCCTACAACTTCAATCACCCTTTCTCCATCAACAACCTGATGTCGGAACAGACGCCAGCACCTCCTAAGCTGGACATGGGGTTTGGGGGCTATGGGGTGGAGAGTGGGGAGCCTGGGGTCTACTACCAGGGTGTCTATTCCCGCTCTCTGCTTAATGCGTCCTAGCGGGGGTGTGGGAGCATGGTGGGTGGGGTATGGCTATAGCTCACACCATCGGGCACTTGGGGCCTGATCCTCCCGGTCACACTTGGCTCACCCCGTCAGTTACCATCTTGTTTGGTCTATTACTGTGGTGGCTGCGGTGTCTGAGGGCATCGGATCCATCCTTTGGGTACTGTGATAACTGCCATTGACATCTTGGTGGGCCCACTGGGTTCTACCAAGACTGCCATGTTGATTGACGTTATTAGTCCATCCATTGGGTGCTCTGATGGCTGCTACCTGGGATGACATCTCAGTTGGCCCTTTGGACATGGTGATGGACATCCTCTTGGCTGACCTTTGGATGGGATGGTGATACCATTCCAGTGACATCTTCTTTGGCCCGTTGGATGCTGTGATCACTTCTTTTTTGGTTGACTTCTTGGCATACTGGAGGGCCAGTTGGCCATCATCCTGCATGACATCTTTTTTTGGGCACGTTGGGTGCTATGATGGCCACCATCTTGGTTGGCTGACATAAACAGTGTACCGTTGTGCACCGTGACAGCTGCCACAGCCCCTGGGTTGGCCATTGTCATCACCGTCTCTTTGGTGTGAGTTGAGTGAGGGATGGAGGTGAGGCTACTCCTTGGTTTTTTCTAGAGCCCATTCCCCCCTCTGGTCCAGGGGAAACCAGAAAGGACTGGCTAGGGTATGGGGAATTTCTACTGAAGTCTGGTTCTTGCCTGGGAAGCGGGATACTGCCTGTGTTGGACCATTAAAGGCACTGTTTCTGCCTCTCACGGAATGTCTCTTTTCTTTGGAGGGCGGGCCCTATGGGGCTTCAACACCTGAATTGCCATGTCCCTGTCCCCTCTCCCGCCCGCCCCCAAGAGCTGGCTGCCTCTGGGGGAGGGGTTGGGGGAGGCATCGACCTGACCTTTGGCTCTTTGCTGTCCCTGACCCCAAGGACAGTTTGCTCACAGATAGCAGCCCCCGCATTCTGGGGCCAGGGCAGGGGGAGGTGACTCTGCAGTGGCCAAGGCCATCTCCCTACCCCCACTCCCCAGACACACACCTTTAACTCTGAGGCCCAAGGAGCCCAGGGGCTGCTCGATTTTTGGTTAAGCTGGGGAGGAGGGGAAGGCACAAACAAGGTGCTAATTGAAGGAGATGGTGTGCCTCTGTGTGTGTGTGTGTGTGTGTGTTGGGGGGGCTGGGCCTCCATGGGTCATAGGATATCACTGTGCCCGCTGGGGTCTCTGTGGCCCTCCCATTGTTCCCTCTGGTTTGTATCCCTCCATTCTGTGGGTTTGTCCCACATTCTGGGTGCTTGCTACCTATCGGTGTCCTGGGATGTCTTACGGTTTCATGTGTGTGGTTCTCTTTGTCCTCCTACCCCTGGGTCCTGGTGGGTCTCCCACTGTTAGGCACAGGTCTTCATGTCCATCTGTCTGCATACCCACCACCTCAAGGGGTCTGTGTGGGGCTCGATCCGTGTTGCAAGCCTGCCTGTCACTGAGTGTTCTGTGGGCACCTCTGTGAGTCAGTATCCGCCTGTATGTTTCAAGTGTTTCAAAGGGTCTGTCCGCGCTTGGGTGTTAACGCCTGTCCCCTCTGCATGGAGGGTCGGCAGTCACTTCAGCAGGCAGGTGTGTGGGGAAAGAGCTCCGTCCTCCTTGTGGGGCTGTGGGCCCCTAGGGTTAGTGTCTGGGTGTCTCTGTTCCTCTGGGGCTCTCCCTAAGCTCTGATTCTGGGGTCAGTAGCTCAGATGTTCTGAGCGCATGGCTCCGGGAGGGGCGGGGGAGACAATGACCAGAAGCCGAGGCTCAGGAGGGAAAGGGACTGGGCCAGGGTCACTCAGCCAGGTTAGGGCAGCTGGGCGGGCTTGGTCTCATTTTGTCTTTTCCTTATTTGGGGTTTGCTTTTCTTGGTCTTTTATTCTCTAGCAGCTAATTAACTTGTTCATCAGACCAAGGGCTGCCTGTTTGTTTATGTGTGTGTGTGAGAGATGTCTCCCCCAGCTTCTGAGTATCTTTCTGTCTCCTAAATATCATCTCTCTGGGACACTGTCCTTAGTCCTCTCTCTGAGCTTTTGTCTCCTCCTGGCTTTTTTGAAAACCTTTGCTCATCCTCTGTAGCCTACCTCTTACACGGTCCGCCTTGGGCTTTCTCTCTCGTTCACTCCCTTGTGTTGACTCTATCCTTTCCTCCCGTCTCTGGGCTCTGAATGTCTCTGTCCCCTACTTGGGGACTGTGACTCCCTTCCGGGTTCTCCCCCCCCTCACCCTAACTACGTTGGATCTCTGGCCTTGCTCCTCCTTCTCTGTTCTCCAGCTCCCAGAGTTTCTGCCTCTACCTGCCACTTCGAAGGCCAGGCCCTCTATTTCTGTCCCGGTGCCCGCACTGCCGGCTGCGTGTCACCCCCCTCCCGCCCCCTGCCGTGCTGGCTCCCTGTCAGCCTCCAGCCGTCCCACCGGCCTCGCTGTCCTGGGCAGGCCGGGGAATTCCTCCTGGTTCCTGGAAAAAACAACTGGGGCCGAGAGAAAGGCCCTCAGTCTCCCCGGGCGCCTGCCCCCCTCCCTCGGGCCTGGGGGTCTCTCCCTGAGTCTGCCGGCCTGAGGCAGGAAGCCCTGCGGTTTCTGGCTTCTCCCAGGCGGCCTCCGGATCTGGCCCCCGCCCCCCGGCCAACAGCCCAAATATTATTCCGCAGGAGGAGCCGGTGGTGGCGGGAGGAGGCCCAGGCTGAAAGAGGCTTTCAGGGCGGCCAGGCCTGGGGCTTCCTGTCCCCAGGCTTGGGCCTCAGGCCGCCCCAGTAGGGACCTCAGGTGGCCGGAGGGGCGGGTGTTGTTGTAGGGTCCTGGACGGAGGGTGGGGCCATCCGTCAGGGTGTCTGGTGGCCACCGGCTCGGCTGGCGTGGGCAGGTGTGACCCCCCACCCCAGGGACAGCCGGCTGATGTCCAGCGTGGAAAAGTACCACGGTCAGACGTGGGGCGCATGGACAGACATGAGGGTGCCAGGGATCGTGAATGGAGGGATAGCCATGGGGACACAGAGAAGCCGGCCTTGGGTTGGGTGAAGCTGGACAGAGCCTGGCGGGCCTGAGGAGACATGGTCCAAGGGAGGGGCCCACGGGTGGGGAAACAGAGGGCTAAGGTAGCGTCCTAGCTGTGGACAGAGGTCCCATGACATCAGAAGGCATGTGATAACAATGCTGGAAAGAGAAATAAATGCTAATAGTGGCTTTTAGGGCTTATCCTCTGTCTGGCATTGTGTGAGCACTTGAGAGAAAAGATTGACCCAATCCTTCCCGCCGCCCCCCATTTTATTATTGGTGAAACTGAGGCAGGATGAGGTAAAGCTACTTGTCAAATCACAGGGATAGTGTTGGAGCGGGAGCGGAGGCGGGGGGGAGGGACCGAGGACTTGAACCCCGGGCAGTCTGGCCCAGAGTCAGTGCCCTTAACCACCATGGTGTTTGGGGAAAATGAGAGCGGTGACCGCACCGTGGGGCCCTGGGGTCCTAAGCCCTCTCTCAGAGTCAGCCCCATTCCCCGCCATGACCTGTTCCAGGAGGAGAGAAGCATCCCCAGGAGAAGCCAGCGGTCCTGGGCGGGTGAGGGTTACAAGTGTGTCTGAGTGTGTGTCCATGTCACTGGTTGTCACACATTTAGCGTGGTGTCAGTGTGTTGGGATCCCAGGGCCACAGTCTTCTGTGTTTCCCGTGATGTGTCTCTGGTCCTCGTATCGGTGTGTGTTGCATCTGCCAGTCTGTCACTGTGTCCTCTCTGTCACTGTTTGTGTTTTGTCCTTGGATCTCTGTGCCTTGCCTCCTGTTGGCCTGTCCTCGTAGCCTGATGTCTGTCCTTAGTGTGTGTCTGTCACTGGCTCTGTTCCGGTGACTCTGTCCCCGGGTTCGGTGGGTCTGTTTATGTCTCTGTCACTCTGGGTCTGCCTATATCTGTCCCTGTTTGTCACCATGTCTGTTCCCCTATGTGTCACCATCTACCCAGTGTCACCGTGTGTGTTACTCACCGCCCAGGCCACAGGTGGGCGTGTCGGGCCCACTGGTGCCAGGGCGGGGGCCCAGCCCGGCCCACCCTCGCCTGCCATGGGCCAGGCTGGGCGCCTGTTTGCAATGTCTGCCACAGGTAAACACCGAGATCCGGAACCCAAGGGCCACCTCCCTCCCCTCTGCTCCCTGCCCCTCAGCCTGCCCTGGACTGGGCTGTGCCCCAAAGCCCCCGCAGGTGCTGCCCCCACACTGGAGGCGTGCCCTGACCCACCCCTCCACCACGGTCACAAGCATCCCAGAGCCCCCAGCCCTGGCCTGGCCCTGTCTGTCCATCTGCTTCTCTTTCTCTCTCTCTTTTTGGGTGTCTCCTGGCCTCTCTCTGTTCCTTTCTGTCCTTACCTCCTCTCTCCTGAGTTACTCTGCAACTTTGCCTTTCTCTGGAATGACCCTCGTCTCCATTCTGTCACTGTCCCTCTACCTGCCCCTTTCTCTGTTCTCGCTCAGTGAAGTGTCACTTCCCCCTCTTCCTGGTCTGACTCTGGGTCTCTGTCTGCCCGTCTTTCTGGAGCTCTTTCGTGCTTTGTAAGTGTCTCTCTCTTCCCTTCATTCCCTGTGTCCCTCTCAGCCTGCGTCTGTCAGGCTTGGCCACTCTCTCCATGTGTCTCGGAGCACCCCCAGCCCCCTGCAGGATCAGACTTCTGCCATCCCCGGGCCCTTAGGGAAGTGTGTGGCCCCCACCCCCCGCTCCCCAGCCCGCTGGTATATATATAAATGTAGATGTACATATTATTTATATCTGTACCCGGGGGCAGGAGGGACAGACACTGGGGCCTTTGTATAGCCGCTGCCCGCTGCCTGCCTGCCCGCCACTCCTCTCCCTTCGTCCCTGCCACCCGCCCGCCTCCACTCCCCCCTGCCCCACAGAAAGGTTCCTGTGGGGCCTGCCAGCTTCCTTTGCCTGAGGTGTGAGTGGGCACGCCACGGGCGAGGCGGGCAGGGGGGCCTGGG